TTAATAAACCGTTCAGTTTCCACACGAGAGAACAGTTTGGATCGGACCGAACCTCTGCATGATCAGTAGATATTTCAGATATTGCTAAACATTTTACCTCAACGTTTTCAAAGTCTCCCATGTCCTGTGGATCATCGGTGTCCGGCTCGATCACTCCCTCTTTGTCCATTTCTGAAAAAGCAGACAGATCTGCCATCATCTGCTAACTTATTTTAATCATCACTGTGTTTTAATATTCACTGTGAACAATAGCTGCTCAGCAAAGCACTGTTTTTTCTTTTGAGTATTTATTATGTTTCTAAGTGTAATATTCTTTTGTGTCCTTCTGTCTATTGTTGTGTTTTACTGTTTTTATTGCTGGCACTGATCACGAGTAGCTCTCTCTCAATTTTCAACATTTTTTTTGTACAAAGACAATAAAGGTTTTCTATTTCTATTTCTAGATAAAGCAAAATATTTAGAATGTGCTCTTGCTGGGTCACGTGAACAATGTTCATTAGTTTTGTAGAGACAGAAAGTTTATCTTTGAAGTTATTTATTCTTCACTGAGCAAAGTGAGTTTCGCTAACAAGCTACGTTTTGTTACAAGCAGAGTGGACGAGGCACAAATGAAGTCCACCTGCGGACACCTGACTCCTGAGTCCAGAGCTGTGATTAAAGACACCGTGTTAAAGATGAACAAACCTATTTCACTCTCCTCGCTCTCAGAGAGTACGGGAGGCTCGGGCGCGGGAGGTGGAGCTGATGTAGGGGGAGGACCACAAGGACAGCCACCCTACAAGTCAGACAGCACTCTGTTACAGCATGACGTGATCAGCATGAAGACTTACAGGTAACACATCAACTGCCTATAATACTCAACTCCACATATTTTTACACAATTTTCACACACCAGAGTAAAATAAAAGGAAATAACAAAATCTAATCATAAAACATAAACAATAAATAGCATAATAACAATATTTCTTGATCACCTGGCATGAATCCTCTGTCTTGGGTGGGGCAGGGATTGTTGCACCCATGCTGCAATATAAGATTATGGAAAACAATTCAGTGAGCAATGCAAGTACCCATATTTCTATCTCCTGCCTCCTGGAGAAGCAAGAACCTGTGAATTTTGGCCATTTTTGCTTAAGAAAATTACTGGAACTATTAATGTTTTATCAAAACTGTGGCCTAATAATGTTCTGTCAATATTCTAGTTTCAGCTCAGCTCTGTTTAAGTCTGTATTTCACTTGGAGGCAAGTGCACCTGACTTTATATAGTACACTATCAACTTTCTGAATCTCTAGTTACACACACACACACACACACACACACACACACACACACACACACACACACACACACACACACACACGGTTTTAGCATGAAGGTGGGCGGGACAGGGCACGTGGTGCATCTGCAGTCTGTTTGAGACTGTAACTCTTTTACTGACATAATGAAATAATAAAATACTCTGTGGATGTTTTTTTTTTTTTCAACATAACAACCCGGATGCACGTGCAGTGTGTTCACAGGTTGGAGCTACACCTATGCTCCGAGGCGCACTGACCCCAGCAGCCAGGTCCGGAAGAAGCTCATCTCTGGAAGGTGCAGGATCCCGGGATTGGACTCGCACATCTGCACGAAGCTCTTCAACTCTGCCACTTTTCGTGGGTCCATGCTGCTCGGTCACGGTCCAGCACACAGCGCGCTGCGTGTGTTGGGGAGGAAAACCCGGAGGGAGAAAAAACAAACAAACAGTCAACAACTTCACCGAGTCTGGCTTGTTTACGCGCTTAGCTGCTAACGTTAATGCCAGCGGTGGTAAGCTAGGTGCGCTAACCAGCGGGGATTGAATGAGCGTCCGCTACAGCCTCACCGTGACCGCTCCGCACCTCACATTCACCCGGCAGTACCCGCTAATCAGCCCCGTGCGACTGTGCACAACTGTCACTAATGACTGTTTAAATGATCACGAGCCAGAAGTTTCTGGAAATGTGAATCCGTCCGTGACGCGATGACTGTTTGACGCATGATACCGTTGTTAGCTAGCTGCAGCACGGGCCGAGATTAATGGAAACACTCCGGGGCAGCAGACACAAATTTCAGCGGTGAAAGGGAAACGCACCTTATCGAAAAACGAACTCCGTTGACACCCGAGAAGAAATACCACAGAGGAGGGTCGCAGTCGACTTTTATCGCCACCGCTTCGCTGGTAGTGGCGTCACTCCTGTGTTTTCATTCAGGCAAGTTGTAGGACAGACCGACAGAAAGAACGGGCATGTGTTGCCCTCAGTCGGGCCTGTCAGGCAGCCTTCAGGGTTCATTAAGGTGTCCAGATTTCTGAAATGAAAACCGATATATATATATATATTTAAAATATCCAATGTTTTTATTTATGAAATAAAAAAGGGGAATAGTCCCGGTTGCATTTATTTTGACCAATGTGGTGAGGGACGACTGATAAAACAATGAGTTACCTACCTTGGAGGCAGTCATAAAGTCCAGTTGTCTATTTATTTCTCAAACATTTATATTCCTTAAGTCCGTAAGGGTCCACCAGCAAAAATAATCAAAAGCATTTTTCATAAAATTGTTCTTGTCAGTATTGTCATGTGAAGTCCATTACAAACAGTCCGGCAACTTCTTCCCTTCTTCCAACATAAACATTTTTTCAAGTTTTGGCTGGGGGGCTATAGGGTATGTTCGTTTTCATTAGTTTGGCAACATCACTCTTGATATAGGCATATATATATATATATATACTGTATGTCATATATTACATTTCTGTATGGGTTTCTGTGAAGAGCTGGGTACTTATAAATGCAGTGCCTCCTGAGAGGCTGTGTCCCTTTCAGGGCAGATGAACCCCAGATATCTTCCACCAATCAATTAGTAGTAATAGCTCAACATTAGGAAAATATGAAAAGTCTGTAAGTGGATTTCATACTGTAGTATATAGATTAAATAGTATAAAGTTCATACTTATGGAAAAGGTGGGTGGGTAGTAAATAAAAGTGCACAATAATTGGCCAAAAATAACAAAAAAACCTGTATAATCCTACATAACTCCAAGTTATTTCTAAGAACTAAAAGAGGCGGGATTAAGCGCCTGTGCCTAGAAAGCCAAACCCAGGGCAACAAACTCCCACTGCCATGAATGAACGTTAGCTAACAATTATGGTAGCAGCTAGCTAGCGAGGGCTAACTGTCAACCAAAGGGGAATAAAACTGTGTTATGAGAAGATTTTAACGTCGGTAAGTCACAGCAACATTCAGCTTTGTCCTAATGTCCGGTGTCAGCGGACGACTTTTGTTCTTCACTGACCGTGACGCTTGATGTCTACAGCGGGACGACATGCTGTGACTGAGCGGTGTCCTCCAGTTGCGGCAACATGTTGCCCTCAACCAGCTCCTTGGTCAGGTCCGCTGTCAAGCTGCTGCCGCGGCGGCAATGGAGTCGAGGTGAGCCCGGTGGTGTTGATACAGTTTGTCGCTGAGTACTTTCACTATACTATTATTATCATTTACATTTACATTTAATACTAAATACTTCTATTCCACTAACTTCACAGGAAAATATTAAACCTGTTCTCCCTCTACATTTATTTGACAGTTGCTGGTTTTCAGATTGAGATTTTGCATTGAAAAGTATGAGTTTGTAAAATACAGTTTATTATTAAAGATTTAACCCATTACTGTTGTTTCACCAAGACACCTGAGCTTCAGACTCTCATTTAGTAAACTGCCATTGTCCAAAGAGGTGGGATTATAATACAGAAATGTCAAAAATATAAATTCACCTCCACCTAATGAGGATTAATCATCAATCTAACAAATGAAGTAAATGTTTCACCACTCAAGTGATATGAAGTAATAATGTGTTGTGTTGAAGGCGCATCAAATATTTACGGAGATGCATGAACTAGTTCTCAATTATGGTAAAAATCACAATCAGGATTATTTAGTATTGAGATCATGATTATTTAACATGATTACTCACTGACATTTATTGAACTTGAAATACAATTCAATGAAAAAAACTAATAAAAAATTAATTTATGAAAAATAATATAAAAAAATAAATATATACAATTAAATATATAATATAAAAATTAATTAGATCAACTATGTTGTAACATTAGTGTAGTGTGCTGGTGACTGGTGACTATATATGCACAGATACACATACAGTTTACACACATATAAACAAATATGTTTTATACTCACTGTTGGGCCACCCCTCACCCAATGTCAGCTGGCTCCAGACCCTGTAAGGATAAGTGGTATACATAATGAATGAATAATGAATAAATAAATGTTTTATAATGAGCCCTGACATTTGATTATTAAAGGATTGTGACCAAGATTCACACTGAGCATTTTACAGTTGAAAATCTCATCAAACATATCTTTGGCATTTCCGTATTTCAAATTTCCAATCGTCCAGTTGTGAAGCTCTCCTCTGTAAAACATAATCTGGCAGCTGATGTAACAGTGAGTCTTTGCTCTCTGTGTTGTGTTGCTGCCTGTAGGACGCATCTGGTGCTTGTGCAGAAACATTTCTGTGAAACCAGGAGGTTTGAAACCAAAGACGGTTCCGCAGCGGTACCTGGGCCAGCCGAGCCCTTTCACTCATCCACACCTCATCAAACACGGTGAGTACTGGCGACCAATACATTTACACTCTTAAGGAAAACCCTGCAATGCACATGGTTTTTTAGCAACAGGCTCACTGTTGTAGTTTAAGTGTCTGTGACGAGCTGCTTGACACTGGAAACACCACATACCTGCTCTCTGCTCCTCAGGTGAGGTGACTCCAGGCTTGAGCCAGACAGAATACGAGCTCCGCAGACACCGGCTGGCCTCTCTTATTGAGGCCCAGGCAGACAAACTGGGACCCTCCGCCTCCTCCAGCGCCCACGTGGTCATCGTTTTGTCCCATCCGACCCGCTACATGACCAATGACATCCCGTATCCCTTCCACCAGAACCAGGTGCACGTTTGGTTTCCTGTTTTATTTCTTCATCTTCAGTTTAATCGTCTTGTGCCTTTTTGTGGGTTTTTGAACACAACAGCAAACGACGTGTACTGAAGAGTGACTGTTTGAAACACTATCAGGCGTAAAGGAAACACCACTGTGTGTTACTCTGCTTTTGCTTCACTGTGTTTTCTTTTGAGTTACTGATCGTAATGTGAACAATTAACTAGAAGCCAAATGTTCTGCAGGATTTCCTCTACCTCAGTGGCATCCTCGAGCCGGACAGTGCCTTAGTTCTTTATGGGAAAGGGCGACCAGATCAGGCCATCTTGTTCGTCCCCCGCAGAGACCCGGGGAGAGAGCTGTGGGACGGGCCGCGGTCAGGGAAGGATGGGGCAGCTGCTTTGACCGGCATAGAGAGAGTTCACAGCACTGAGGAACTGGGTCTTGTGCTCAAGACCCTTAAAGGTGGGTGGATGGAAGTGTGAGGACACATGTCCATATTCTCTTTAAAACAAGAACCATTGCATTGTGACTACATATGTACACTGGCAAGAAGAAGTGTGAACCCTTTGGAATTAGCTGCATTTACGTATAAACTGGTCTTTAAATGTGCTCGAAAAGAGAGATCTCAGCTGAAAGTGTTGCAGAGTCATCGCACAGTTTAGTTATTCATCAGTGCACAGTCAGACAAACTGTCTATAAATGGAGATGATTCAGTTCTGTGGCTGCTCTCCCCAGAGGTGGGCGTCCGGCTAAGATGAGTCCAAAGGCAAAACGCAGAATGATCAGTAGAAAAGAAGCTCAGAGTAACAGATAAAGGCTTAAAGGAATCATAGGAGCTGGTTCACGTCTCTGGTCATACACACATCATGGAGCCTGGTTTCATGGAGCTCAGTGTCCATCGCAGCAGCTTGACTCTCCACAACACTACTGGGTCAATGTTTTATGGACTGATGAGACCAAGGTTGAATTGTTTGGGGAGAACATGCAGCTGTATGTTTAGGGTGTAAGAGGGAACTGCACACCAACATGAAAACATCATCCCAAAGGTGAAGCAGGACGGAGAGAGCATCATGATCAGATGTTTTTCTGCCTCTGGGCCTGGACAGCTTCACACCGTCGAGGGGGAAATGAATTCCCAAGTTTATCAGGGTCTCTTACAGGATGATGTGAGGGAGACTGTCCACCTGCTGAAGCTCAGGAGAAGCTGCTGATGCAGCAGGATAATGACCCTAAACATCAAAGTTAAATGACTTCAAAGAAAATCCACCTGTTGGAGCGACAGTCGGTCCAGACCTTAATCCAGCAGAGATGCTGTGGAATGACCTGAAGAGTCGCTCTCACCGGACATCCTGAGAATACGAAAGGTCCAAACTTCCTCCTGAACATTGAGCAGCTCTGATCAGCAGCTACTGACGAGCTGGTTTGAGGTTATTGCTGCCAAAGGAGGTTCGATCAGTTATTAAACCCGAGGGTTCACGTTCTTTCTCCACCAGCACCGTGAGCGTTTAATGTCTGTTCAATAAAGACACGAAAGATTATAACTGTTTGTGTGATATTAGCTGAAGTGCATTGTGTTTGTCTGTGTGGAGTTAGTTTGACTAGTTTTACTATAGTATAATATTCTGAATAAAACATAAAATCTGATTTCTAACATAATTTGTAGCAGGTTTGAGGCTCACCACAGAGTTTAGATTTATGCTTTATGTTTTAATGCATTTTATTTACGTTCATATTTGCTTCAAATACCCACACAATGCTGTTGTAAGCTAAAGATACTGTTGACAATAAGCTGGTTAACTGGGTAAGCTTATGTTAACCCATTTCTCACTCTTGGACCTTAACTTCACCATGAACCATTTTCTGTGCGATCGTCTTTCAGGAACTCTGCTTTGGTACGATAGTTCTCAGCCTTCCCACCCTCGGCTCCACCAGGCTTACGTGTCTCCGCTGCTGGAGGCGGGGCCGACGCCGCGCTCTCTCAGGCCCCTCATACACTCTCTCAGGGCCCTCAAGAGCTCAGCAGAGGTGGCGCTCATGCAAGAAGCGGGTCGCATCACAGCACAGGTCGGTGTTTCAGTTACTTTCAAGAAGTTTATTATTACTTGTAAATGCCTGCAGCAGGACAGTGTTTTGATTTCCTTTCTTTTCACCTGCTCCAACTCAAATCCTCGTCTCTCAGGCTTTCAGGAGGACGATGGCTCTGTCTCAAGGAGACGTGGATGAAGCTGTGCTCTTCGCTAAGGTAACTGAAAGTCTTTACTGAACTCTGTGTGGCTCTTCAGTTCCTCGCTCTCGTGTGGCCTGTCATGATCTTCGTGTCTTTTATTGATCAGACTCTTTAATGTAATCACTGCGACCAAAGGTGTCACCCATTGTGTGAAGTCTTGAGTAATGTTAGTAAGTGTAAGTGCTTTCTGAGGTCACCGTGACCTTTGACTACGAAAGTCTAATCCGTTCTTCCTTGAGTTGAAGAGAACATGTGTGCAAAAATTTGAAGGGATTTCCGTGAGGAGTTCTTGAGATATTGTGTTCACAAGTTCTGTCTGTTTCTCTGTGGTAGATAACGCAGTTTGTGTGACAACAGCTTCTGGAGCCAGAGTGTAGTAACTGTGGTTTTTAGCTCTAATTCCAAAAAGTTTTTTTCATTCAAATTACACCTTTTTACGTCATAATAATTAATAGTTAAACTTGTCATGTGATCACAGATCACAGATCACAGCAAACATGAACAGTCACTTCTGAAGTACAAACCTTTTTTTTTTTTTTTCTTTTTAACATAACGTCTTATTTCAGTTTGATTTTGAGAATCGGATCCATGGCGCCAACTTCCTGGCCTATCCCCCTGTGGTCGCTGGAGGGAATCGAGCCAATACTCTTCACTACATAAACAACAACCAGATTATAAAGGTAAATGCAGGTGCTGAACGTGGGGTCAGCAGGTGAGTTTGGCCTCGGGTCATCTTCTTTCACCAATTTACTTTGTTGCTGTTCACACGTGTGGCGGAGGTGGGGGGGTAAAAAGATCATGTGATTATGTTTTTGGGTAGCTCATCATCTGCATTCTGTTTCCACTCTGATTTCATTCTGAAAGTCCTGACAGGAAGTTTTGATTCTTTCCACCACTTTGACGCTTCTTTCGGAGGTTTGTTAACTCGTCCACCCACAGTCACATATTTGACTTTTCAAAAGCTCGCAATAGCTTGAAATAAAGCTTTGCTCCAAAAAAAAACAAAACAAAAAACCCCCCCAAAAAACCCAAAAAAGAACAAACTTTTATTTCTCTGCAAAATCGCTAAAGAGGAAGTGATTCTGTGGGTAACTGTTGCTGCTCGGACAAAGATCTATTTTAGCAGCAGAGATCATCTCTGTTTTTATTAAAACATCATATGATCAGATTAATCTGGCGGGCCAGATATTATTCCAGTTTTGGCCACTTGCCGACCACCGTGCTAAAGGATCAGTCCTGTCATATAACGTGCGACCAATGAACGCACACATTAAGCACTGACAATGAGAAGTGGTTCATAACACATAAAGCAATGATTGAATAACATATATGACTCCTTACATTTCCCTCTCCGTCTCTCCTGCGTCAGGATGGTGAGATGGTGCTGCTCGATGGCGGTTGCGAATACTTCGGTTATGTCAGTGACATCACTCGAACGTGGCCGGTGAATGGAAAGTAAGTTTGACAAAATGATGTTTGAGCTTTGCCACTCAAATGAAATAAAACCTTGATGTGTGCAGGTAGATTTGCAACTTAATTCTTCACTGCAACTGTTTGTAAATGCAGATCTTGAACTGAAATGATCTGTTCCTCCATTATTCATCACTCTTTGTTTCTTTAACTTGCTCATTGCTCTCATTACTCTCTATATGTACTACTATTACAGGTAGTTTTACATCTTAATTTAATACATGATTTGTTTTGAACGATCCTCCAAGTCTCTAGATTTTGAGATTTTTGAATGAAAATTATTCTGGTATTAATGACGGACACAAACACACCTTTTAATGTCTGCCGCCGCCGCCGCCGCCTCCTTCCTGCCAGGTTCAGCCCCGCCCAGGCCGAGCTGTACGAGGCCGTCCTGGAGGTCCAGCGCTCCTGTTTGTCTCTGTGTTCACCGGGCGTCAGTCTAGATCACATCTACAGTACCATGCTGGCTCTGCTGGGACGACAGCTCAGGCAGCTCGGGATCGTCAAGGCCAGTACCGGTGACGCTGATGTACTAAAGGTAATAATCGGAGAATGGATTCTGATTGACAGATTATTCACCTTTTAAATAGCTCTTTGCTTTTGGAAAACAGAGTTGTTGTGCTGAATGTAACAAAACTTCTTAAGATGCGTTGCAAATTATTAATGGCATAAGAAAGTTGTATTTTCCATATATAATATAGCCTTGTGAGACACGGTTCTCTCAGATTATCACTGTTATCATGTCAACAATCAGTCCTATAGGACTTTATTCATGTCCTCGCCACTGGTTTGCAGTCACTTCTGCCAATGTAAATGATGAAGTGGATTAATTGCACCTTTCCTGAAACACAATATGCCCCTATAACTCTGCATTATAGAGGCACTTCTTTCCTGCAGTGGGGAATAAGTGAGCAATCCAAACCGAAGCTGAATGTAAATTTATTCAGCTGGTTTCTCTGGAGAAAAAAACATACTGTGTGGTAATAAAAAAAGTTTTTTGGCAGCCAAGGATCCGTTAGTTCACGATGCACAGCAGACTTACACATTCATTCTTCATTAAGACAGAGATTCATGAACCTTTTCACACTTTTTGACTCTAAGAAAGGCTGTGACTGAGGGATCAGTGACGGGGGTTATCAGCCCTCTGAGCCGAGTGTGGCTCTAGTGATTTTTGTGCAGTGTTGGAATTTGTGTTCACCTTAAATCTTGCTGCTTAGTAGCTTCATGTAGAATATTTTCAGCGCTTTATCTTCCTGTGGAAACAGCTCTTTCACTCAGCTGACCTGCAGCTAGGTGCGCTTGTGCGTAGGAATACAGTAGTTCAGTGGTTGGAAAAAAAATGTAGTGCCAAAGGAAAGTGCTGTTTTCCGAACTATCGCTTTAAGGCAGGTAAAAAAATGAGGCTTCACCGCAGTGAGACCCAGTGAATCGGTGACGCCCCTGAGTTTCGTGTTATTAACGTGTAGCGCCACGCTGTCCCTGCTCTGGGACTGCTGGTCGACGACTTTTATACAACTTCTAAAGGCCTTAAATTCATGCTCATCCCAGGCTGCTCGGCGGTACTGCCCCCACCACGTCGGTCATTACCTGGGCATGGACGTCCACGACACTCCCGAGCTTTCCCGCTCACAGCCTCTACAGCCGGGAATGGCCATCACTATAGAACCGGGTATGGATAATTAATTTCAATCAAGAACCTGAGTGAAATCAGGTTTTAACTAACTTTTCAGTTAATGTCACCATCTCTTTTACAGCTCATGTTATTCCTGGTTTCACACGTCTCCTATTTTTCTCCTCCTCTTGTCACAGGTTTGTACATCTCCGAGGACAACGACCAGGCGCCAAAGCGTTTCCGCGGCCTGGGCGTCAGGATCGAGGACGATGTGGTGATCCAAGACATGGGAGGCCCTTTGATTCTGTCCTCTGACGCGCCAAAGACCATCGCTGATGTAGAACAGGCCTGTGCCCAGAGGTAGGACAGGGAGAGACGGACAGAGGGTCCATGGTGATGACATCATCAGGCTCAGGGCCCAGGTACATGAAAAAGGTGGAAGTGCACTGCAAGACTGTGGTTTTAGTGCCATAGATTTTGTGGACTGCAGAAAGTCTGAACATGTTTCCGTTCAGGAGTTAAAGTGTAGGTTTGTAACTACACATACAGCAGTTACAGAGACACTGCATGGAATCATATACAAATAATCACGTATAATAAATTTATCTCGTGATGTGACGGAGCGATCAGCAGGTGAAATCCAGGGAACCTCAGTTAACCTCTAGCATCAAATATGTATTCAGTTTAAGTAGTGGGGCAGATGGGCAAACCAACTGTGCATTTTATGACTAAAGCATGAAAGTTTCACATTATAATCTACACACCCCAAGGTTTTATTTCAGACATGGAGGCAATTTATATCTGACCTCTGGTGACCTTAAGAGGTCACTGACCTCAGCTTTGCATTTTCCCAGTTTCTGCCCCGTCACTCTCCGTTATAATCATGTTTATCTTTGCCAAAATTGCATTTTTGTTCTGATAAAGATGCTTATTTGCTGCTGTGACCGTGTAACATCATTTTGCTTAGGGCACCAGTTTTGCAGGGACACCCCCCCCCCCCTCCATTTCCTGGTGTTAATGTAGCTATAGCTTGTTAAAAACATTCACAACTTCTGCTGTGTGATCTATGGGATTACATTACTAGCTAACACATTAGCAAACACTCTCATCAGAAGCTAGCATGCTAGTTTGGTCTGAACCACACTCATTAGTCCATGTGGCTCTTGTCACGTCTGAAATGTCTCCACGTCTGAAAATAAACTTCCTGGTTTATAGAAACACTGCAGGAAGTTTCATGCGTTAGTCACAAAATGCTCAATGAGCTTCCATTGTCAAGCTCATCTGCTGCACTTAAGATCCAATGCTTGGATCCAGAAACCATGGAAGCATTTTCATTCGTAAAAACCTACAGTATTTGCTCCACACCATGTTTTTCAGAACAGCCGCCATCATGATACGCCGGCTGATAAATGTTCCTTTGTTGTGTCACTCAAAAAACTTCTGAAGCCTATGTGCACACACCTCATTTGTCTATTACACACAGAAATGCATCGTTATCCCCCAGTTCATGCTACAGTACAAAAGATGAAAACAGCAGATGTTGATGTTGCGCTCGCCTCGCTGTGGGATGGTCAGGAAGGACCAGAGGATGTCAAATCAACAGACTAACATATTTAAAGACACAAGTGATGATGAATAAAGAGGAACCTGTACACCACAGCTGCTCCTGATGAACCTGCGATGATTATAATTACTACACCAATCCACTGAAATGTGAAAAAGTATATACTGTCCGTGTGTGTGTGTGTGTGTGTGTGTGTGGGTGGGGAATTTTGTCTTTTAAGGAAAATGGCGTTTATATGTATTAAAAAGATCTTGTTATTCTTTCTTTCATAACTGATCAATTTTGTTGGTTTGACTCAAGTTACTTAAGACGAACAACACGATGTAAAAAATGATGATAGCAGTGAATTAGGCTACAAACCATGACACCTCAGGGTCACATGGTCACATCGGCAAAGGACATACCAGTAAAACAGCATAGAATATATAAATAAATAGAAAGAAGAGAAGGGAAGAAGGAGATCTTGGTTCCAATTATTGAACTTCTGAAATTAAAAATATCTGCATAGTCATATTTTTGTGGCAGGAGTGCACAGACTTAAATTACTTTGGAGATTATGTATTTAAATGTAAATGTAAAGAAAATCTATTTAAAATATGATCTACTGTTATAGATTAAACTACCCAACAGTAAATAAGATAATTAAAATTAGCCACTTTTCTACCTTTCGTGTTTTCACTTTTGATAGTACTTTTAACATATATTTTGCTGATAATACTTAAGTTCTTAATTAACATTTTAATGCAAGACTTGTACTGAAGTATTTTTACACTGTGGTAAACAATCTGAATACTTTTTCCACCACATGCTGATGATCACATGAAACATTTTGAGAGGTACTTTAACAGGTACATAAGTATTATCAGCAAAATACACTTAAATCTCAAAAATAATATTAACTCATTATAGTTAATGAGCTAAAATGATTTCATATCATTTGATTGTGTATTTAAGGGTGTGGAGGTTGCAAAGGGACAAACAACACATTTTTTGTATCACTTATCTTTATTGATTTTGAACATTGTACATCACTTTTCCAGAGTGTTTTGGATATATCCTAAAACTTTCCCCTCCTTCCCGCCCTCCCAACACCTTGCCCATGAACTGATAGCCATCAGCTTTGATGATGGTTTACAAAATGATAATTAATAAATTACTTAAACATATATCACAGCGTTAACATGCATAGCTATAAACCTGTTAATCAAAAAAAAAAAATAAAAACACTTTTCCAATGTATAGGAATAGGACGTTTAACTTGTAATAGGCAGAGATTAACAACCACATTTTTTGCCCCAGGGACCCATGATAGGTAAATCTGGCCACCAGTAAAAAATAGACTATAATGTTTACCTCTAAAATGTCGTGGAGCAAATACATAGAGTAGCCTTAATTGCAAAATACTCATGTATGTCAAAATTTGTAGTACTTGAATAGAAGCTGTAAGTTACTTTCCACCACTGAGTGCGACTTTATTCTTAAATCAATTCCCTCATTTTAAGTTGTTTCTAATTGATAATAAACGTTACTTTGAGTCTCTCAAGTAGGTAACAAACAAGAAATCCATGTCAGCAGTTAATATTATATTCTGAAATGTTTGTCACTTAAATTATTCATTTGTCCTTTTTTAATTTATGTATTTGTTGTTTTTTTGTTTGTTTCTTTTATTGAAGAACTGATATGTCTGAAAAAAAGATCAGATTTAAATAAAGAAAAAACACTGTAAACTACTGTAGTTGACTGAGCAAGATGAGAGTGGAGCGCCACTGTCCCCTACAGCTTGAACTCGGCGACTGCCGACAGTGTACGGAACCGGTTTCCGGACAATCCCGAACACCTACGAAGACAACCTCCCCTCTTCTTCCCTTCCTCCCTCCCTCCCTCCTCCCCTTCACGCCTAATGTTGCTGTACCTCCAACCCTCCCCCCGTATCAGAGGAGTAGAAACAACAAGCCGCCATTTTGTTTGTGCGGACAGACCGTCAGAAACAGGAGATAACCGAGAGAAGGAGCGACTCCGGCAACCGACGACAGCTGCTCCGGTAACCGCCGGGGAAAGAAAGAGTGGCGAAATCCTGTCCGTGTTATCAAGAGAGCGAAAGCATCACCAAAAAAAGATAAGACGTCAGTGGAGGGAAAACCGAGTCGGTGATATATATGTATGCATGAGAAGGAAATACTCCGAAAAATCCAAGGAAGGGGGTGTTTTGCGGAGCGGAGACGGAGAGGAGAGGCGGAAGAGAGCTATATATTATCATAACGAGGAAAAACCTGCGAAAAAGGGGGAAAACACCAACATGAAAAATCATTATGTGTCCGTCGCGGAGGAAGGAAAGAGCCCGCATAGACAATTATATAAATAAATTGCTGCCGGGCAGAAGGGAGAGGTGGAAAGAAAGACGGGTTTAAAGAGAAGGGGAAAATTGCCAGGATCAACACGAAGGGGGGGCATTCTCCATCACAAAGAGTCAATGAGAGGATTTTGTCAGCCCAAAATATTTTAGGGGGGGGGTGTCAACATCATTGTGCCGATCTGAAGCTTTCCGCTTCCGAAATAGCCATAAATTTCTTAGCGATCCACCGTCAAAAATTTTGATCACATTTTCGCGTGTCGCCGTAGCTGTGCTCCTGTTTTTTTTTTTTTGTTACGAGCTTTCTGTTTCTCTTCGCTTGCATGGCCAAGACATCCTATAAGCAGTGATTGATGGGTATATATAAATGTTTTTTTTTTTTTGGAATATCAATCACCCCTTTTCATTATCTGAGATTGCAAGAGTTCAAAAACCAAGCGAGAATCGGAGGAGGAACCTCTTCTGGAGCACAAGATAAGTAACCACACAGATCGTCCTCTGCAAAATAAAAACTAATTGGATCAATCTGACTGCCCGCTGATTGACAATTAGAGCTGCGATTGCCCTCAAGAACTGTTCTGTCAAAGAAATAAAGTCTGCATCAGAATCGATTGCACAAGAGCAGTAATTTTTTTTTTTTTTTTGGACAAGATTTTCTATTCTCAACCTTTTGCCAACCCCGCTGACTGCAAGAGGCATAATCGCGCAAAAGGGGTTGCAACAACCAAAACGTGCAATACGAGTCTGTTCTTTCTGACCCAGTGCCTTGCATGGTCAAACACTAAGTGCACAATTTAGTCTGCATGCACATGCAAAAGAAAACTCATACATGGGAATAGACATCTGCAATCGATTTTCTCTTTATCCGAGTAACTGCAAGCGTGGGACTCCTGTGTTTTCATCTCTCTACAGAACTGTTATTCTATTTATTCAGTTCCTGTTAAGCCAATGCAAGTTTTTTTTCCCCCACAGTGTTGCACTTGAGAGTACCACTTACGCTTTAACTGTATTTTAAAGCTGCTGCTGGTGGTGGTGGTGGTCTCCACACCGGCTGACTGCCCATTTTCGCTTTGGAGAGGAATCGGTGGCATTGAGAGCAGTGAGATGTCTGATCAGGTGAGAGAAATGCTAAAGGCAACCGAGGATCCCATAACTGTTGCATGAGATATCGGCCTCCAGAAGTTAACACGGGACTACTCCTGGCTTGTGTTTTTCGGATCACAATTACCATTTTCGTGCCCACACCGAGACTCTCCACTGGAGCGCTTCAGACCTGAAATACAGGATTTCTCCACCGACTATGGCGGACAGGACTGAGTGCACGACGGAGGACGGATCTTGGGACAATTTTTGTGTCGCAGAAGAGGCTACATGAGGTTGACAGAGGGCCGCACGCTTGCCTTTTTTGCCGACTCCACCTTCCCACCTCCTCCTCTTCAAATCTGTGAAGAAACAAAATCTCCGACAGGGGAGGGGGACTGATATCTGCAGAGAGGAATAAACTGTGAGGGAAGGAGTTCAGCATTGCTGTCTTCTCCCCTACCGTCCCCCAAGCGGTGGGGGAACGATCATAAGTATTTCTTAAAGGGATAAGGAGACGCAAATAAGGGAAATACGTTTGCCCTCCGTGGATCTACAGAATCTTTTTTTTTAATTCGTCAAAAATATGGCCGATAATGTCCTGGAGTCCGGCCCGCCTTCAGCCAAGAGGCCCAAGCTGTCCTCTCCAGCTCTCTCGGTGTCTGCCAGTGATGGAAATGGTAAATATATTGCATGCATTACTTAGCTGCAGAGAAAACATAAACTAGCTTCGACTGTTTGTGTATTAATTATTGGTGAGTCTTGGAAGTCTCTGCAGAGTTGCACAGCAACTTAGTTGGTTTGAAACAGAGCTGCTTCATAATTAATGCATTTAAACACGAATATATCTGTAGTTTGGTTTAAAAATGCCCAGTCCGAGAATCTGGATTGCTAAAGGAAAACCGTGATGAAGTACTGGCGGTAGAAGCAACTTTCTAGCAGTGATGTTTTGATGTTAGCCCCAACAGGCTAACTAGCTACCAACTATAACATCCACCTCCAAACAATGGAAGAGTCGAGTCACCCCAGTTTGCTTTAAGTTGTCTAGCTACTTTAAAAGTTAATTAACTGGAAGCACGAGACCGTACACGCACAAAACAACAGGCTTCGTAAATTCTCCGTCAACAAAGAGACAAAATACTGTTTCCAAAACAGCTTTAGGAGAAAGTAACGGTAACGGCTAGCTAGCTAACAAGCTAGGCACACAACCCCACCGGACCGGCTCAGCTGAGCTCGGTAGCTGGCTAGCAAAGGAAATAAGTGATAATTAGCTAAACCGTGTTGGTCACCAGAAAAGCTTTTTTCTAGTTGGTACTAACTCTTTGTGTAGTTGTGGAAAAAGTCGTTTGGGGCCACGAACAATTAACGTGTTTTTAAGCGGTGAATATGCTGTGTTTTAGTGAACTGTTGTCGTATACAGCAGCTAGCTATTGTTCGACACTTCATTAAAGTTGCGCTAAGCGTTGATGTCCGGCTGCAGATTTAGTTGTGTGTCGATTTTAACTGCGTTTCTGCGTTTAAATGAGAGGGCCAAAAAAAAAAAGAAGAGCCGCTGTCTTTGAAATGCCTTCTTTCATGTCTTTTGTTCAAAAGCTTTTTACTATCTCAATTGTGCCTCCGACGAAGCCCATTCTTGTTCGTCCTCCATTGTTTGACTCTGCACGACGATACTGCGCTGCACTTTTTGCAGTTTACTTTTCAAAAAAAATAACACAACACTTAACCCAAGGCAGAAAAACCTGAATGCCTTTCACTTTGTTTGTGAGTTAAACTGTTATTGCAAACTAATTCATGTGCACATGTTGAGCTAGAAGCTGTAAACTTCTGATATTATCTGTTTTAAGTAGACACACAGAGAATCGATGATTTATGCGTTAAGTTTAGTTTGGTGCTGTTTTCCACCGTAAGTTATACAATTAATATATGAAGCATAATAAGAAAGTTAGAAAATAAAGTTATGTGAATTTTAAGCTTGATGCATGTTTACTTTCCTACAACATTTGGGCCGCTAATGCAGTGAAAACTGGGAGGGAAGTGGGAAGGGGTGAAACTAGTCTCGTGCATGCATTTCATTAAACAGCGGTAGAGCATATCTTCTGCACAGTAGCGTGGATTAACAGAAGAGTTTAGCGATTTAGATGTTAACATGCCATCATAAGAAAAATCAAACTTGCAGAGTGTTTTCTTCCACCTGAAAAGAACAACTTGGTTTGTCACCGTTACTGTCTGCACAAGGAAAACCATTTGGATTTTTAATATATTTAAGTGCACTCTCAAATTAATTTCCCTTTTTAATTTGCCTCCTGTTGCAGTGGATATGACTTTTGATCTTTTGGTCTCTGTCATGCTCTACAACATAACTCTAGATCCAATCCACACACCTACCTAGGTACAGTAGTGTTTACCCCTCTGTGGCTTCTCACCCTGACCCTACTGCGTTCACTCTCCATGTTTGGCACCACATCAAACCACAAACTGATGCACAGGAGGGAAGTCTAGGCTGTTTGAAGCTACTGATCCACTGGCTGTCTGGCTATGGGGTCCAGATTAATGGTTGATAGTTTTTGAATTAATGTTAGAGCGGTGCTACACTTAAAAATTAAAGATATTAAATGAACAAATGTGACTGTATGCATTGCAAATTGTAAATGTGTTTTTTTTTTCTTGAGCAGTCAACTCTGGGAACCAAATCTTTATTTTTCTAGCTGGTAAGATGCTAAGACTTTTGTTTCTTTTCCCTCGTGTTTAGATTTTGGTTCACTCTTTGACCTGGAGCATGACCTCCCAGATGAGCTCATCAGTTCCTCGGACCTGGGGCTGACCAACGGAGGGGATGCCAGTCAACTCCATACCACTCTTGGAGGGGTCGGAGGTGGGATTGGTGTGGGGGGAGGCCAGGATGCTGCTGCGAAACACAAACAGCTATCTGAACTTTTGCGTGCTGGGGGACCAGCACAGCAGGGTGGCCCTGCTTCCAACAGCACAGCGCCTGGGGCTTCCATGGGCATGATGGGGGGTGTCAGCGTTGCCCCCGGTGGACCTCAAGGCATGCCCCCCCAGGGCCAGCAGCAGCAGCCTGGATTAATGCAGCAGGTTGGGATGGTTGGAGGGGTGGCGGCTCTCAATCGGGCAGCTGCCATGATGGGTGCCCAGAAGGGCAACACTGGACAGCAGCAGCAAGGGCTGATGGGGGGACAGGTGATGAATGGCTCACCGAGAATGGGCTACCCTGGCAGTGCAGGCATGGGCAACAATAGTAACCTGTTGGCGGAAACCCTACAGCAGCAGCAGGGCGGTCAGCCAATGGGACCAGGGGGTCAAGCAGGGATGAGACCACAGCAACCAGGAGCACTGAACAAGGTAAGCGCACTCAAAGCTGTAGGGCCAGTCAATACATGCATTTCGCATCTCAGTGGCAGCTATCTTATAGGAAACTATCAATTGTGGTAAACTGTCATTTGTAACTGAGGCTAAGATGTTCCAAATGCCGGTGTGGTTTTGATGCTCTGCTGACTCCCACACCTGCACGTTCCCCTTCAAATACGGAGTAGTGTGAACCTTTAATAATTACTTGCCCTCTGTCTCATGTAAGCGCCAAACACTGAGGTTTGAAATTGCTGCTAAAATCAGCGGAAATGTGTCTAATTGGTCTGGGTGTTGTATATTTGATCTCTCCTGAGTTCAGTAAAGTAACTCAGAGAGGAAGACTAATGGTAATTTCACCCTCACAGCCCTTTTAGACATGGGTCTGATTCACTGAAACAGTATTACAGCACAGAGGCGGACACATCTTCATCATCATAGCTGAGTGAAGCTGTAGACTGAGGTTGCCCCGTAGTAGTTGTTCTCCAGAGCCACGTGCAGCTATGAGTGTGGTTGTGTGTTGGACTCACAGATGCGTCACTCCTCTCCCTGAGGTATTGATGGTTAACCTCTTTGGTAGTCGATATGCCACACGACCGTTGTGATTTTGTTCTAAAGGTGTGAAGGAAGTGCTGCAAACAACTGTATTAAGTGGTTCAATTGAGGTGTGTTTCTCCAATTGCATGAGACCGTTGTTTAACTCTCTGTGGCTGTGCACCAACACACACAGGGTTTGTTCTGTAATGTCCTGTAATTAAAACGTCATCAGTAAAGTGTATGTATTAGCCATGCTCGTCCTTGAAATGATGTAGTTTTAGCTCAACCTTAAACCCATTAAACAGAGTTTTTCACATAAAGCTCATATGCAGAGATGAACTGTTAGACCCATAGCAACAGTTAACAAACCACTCCACACTGTTGCTAATATTGGAGCAGCTTTATTAGACTTTTAGCCTTCAGTTAAAGATTTTTTTCAGCTTCTTCAGCATCAGACTGAAAATACAGTGGATCTGAGACCAGAGCTGGAGGTGAAAGGCGACATTTAGATCATGTCAGTATTATGACTTGTTGTGGAGAGCAGAGGTAACATTACAATACTTACCAGTACTTTTTAGAAAGTGATTTCCTGTTGTCGTCCTAGCACCGTTTCCTCAGTGATATTGTCTTTCTCTCATGTAGGATGACATTGTAAATCCTCCCACATTTCTTACTTACTGTTTAAATATCAGTTGACTGGCTGCTTAAATCATCCTTTCATAGGTAATAAAAAGTAATGATCTAAATTTATTTCCCCCCATCTCCTACTTTTCTCTCCATGTGTCTCTGCTGCTCTTCACCATCTCTTTTCCCTCCCATCTCTCTCATTTTCTTTTG